AAAAAGACGAAACAATTATAATATACATATATATCTTACCTTCTTCGGTGAAACTTCGTTGAAGTTCATCGATGTCATTTAATTTGAGTTTCAACGTATGACTTTTGAAAAATTTAACGATCCTGTCAAAGATCATGCCATTAAGCGCATCTTCCTTGTCATCCAATGCTCTCGGCAAATTAGCTTCGATTTCTTGCAACGATTTTGGTACTTCATCATCTTCATTTTTCACCGAACCTTCCCTTAAAAGGGTAACGCCATTTGCAAGATCAATTTGGGCGCTCCTCGAAACCCTATCAATCGCTGAAAGTAACCTCAATTTCAAACAAGGACTGATATCGGCATCTTCACCGGAACACTCTTTATAAATCTGATAGACGTAACGCATCTCGTTGAAGAAGCTGTTCATGCTAGACCTAGCCGTATCCTCATTCTCGATGGAATTGGTCGTTGGGTTTGCCTCGACCGACCTTGCCATGTTCGTGGCTAACAGGAGGAAACCGATACAGGATAGGAGGACAACACGACTTTGCTCAACGTCTTTCATTTTCTATCGACTCTTTTGGTATTTATCTGCAATGATCAAAAACTATTTTCAACAAACTCGAATTATAAGATATTTATTAACAATTAAAATTAAATTAATCAAAGATTCGAATAAATTCATTGAATATTCTTCGATCTAGGTTATCAAAATTAAAAAAAAAAAGAAAAAACAAACAAGCTGTTAAATCAGTAACGTTAATGTAAAATTAAATCAAATTTGTACCCTTTGTTTCACTATTGTATTTTTCCTATTCGTTGAAATTTCGACCGCACAAAGTCGAATAAGAAAATAATAATCAGGATCCTTCCTGTGATTCTTCTCTGTTGTATCTTTTTTATTTCTTCCCCCACTATTCCTCCCACCCACTATTATTAATATTATTATTTCAAAATTGTTAATTCCTTCGTCGTTAATGAATTTCCAAAGAACTTGGATGATTTAGCACAAAAAATAGGAAAAAAGAATAATGGAAAAAGCAGCCGACTTATTACTTGGACTATAGGCACCGGGATGCGTGTATCTTGAGAGCACACACTACGTGGACTGTACGTAACGGAAGCCCTGCCCTAGCTCTATATATCTGGTTCAGGTGTACCTCCGTACTCGGTTATATTCCCCCCACCTTTTTCAATTCTAAACCCGTACAGACAAACATATAGACAGACATACAGAGAGACAGACTTACCACCATCTAACGCAATACCATTTTTATAGTTTTGCTCGTTGCACCGGAACACGACTCTTATGATACTACTCTAACGAACCTAAGATCACAGAGGGTTGAGGGGAGTGAGGATATTCAACAGAGAGTTATCCTATTCAAGAGAATGTTCAATATACACCATAAAACCTAACCCCCACCATCAGCATCATCACCACCACCACCACCACCACCACTATAATCATCACCATAATACACATTCTCTAGTCTTAACTTTAACACGCACGATTAAACCGATCCTCTTCTTCTCTTCACTTCTACTCACTTTAAAAGCTTACCGGTTGAACGGCTCATAAATTCCTCCCCTTACCCACCCCACTCCTACTTTACCTTATAGATCATTCTCTTCTATTCATCTTTCTTCTAAAGTATTTGAATCCCACTTTATGACTGGTCGACGACAATGACTCCACCTACCCAAGCATCTCATTCGCCAAACCCTATTTTTTTGTTCTTTCTTTGTTTTCTTTTTTTTTTCTATTTCTATTTGTTCCGATTCGTCGAAAGGGAACGAAAACGAAAGGAGGTAAGTTGTTAACTGTTGTTTACTAGAATCTGTTTTAGAGAGTACCGGAGATCCGTATTCCTTTTTTGTGTGTGTGTGTTTTTTTTTACAGGATAGAAATATAAACATAAATAAATAAATAAATAAGCACCATCTTTCTCTCTCTCTCTCTCTCTCTCTCTCTCTTGTGATGAAAGTAGACATCTATATGGGAATTTATTTGTATAGTTTTTATTTATCTTACAAACATACATTCTCGATCTCTGACACGGATATGTGTTTCTATTAAATTTCGATTTCAATCGTACAATATAATTTTCTTTCTCCCCCTTTTGATATTTAACATATATATATGTCGAAGAAAAAAGAAACTAATTAACTGTAGAGAAATATTCAAAGACTTTATCGTATAAAAAGGAAAGAAAAGAAAGAAGAAAAAAAAATAGCCACGTAGAGAAAACGCTTTGTCATGCTCGTTAACTATCGCATTCGTGCATGCATCCAGAAAATTTGATAAACTGTTGTCTGACTTAAAAGCGGATCTAAGGAAAACAACAACAACAACAACAACAACAAAAAGAAGGAACTTCATTCTGTGCGCGAAAAGTAGACAAATATGCGGAAAGAGGATGCTGAATTAAGGATCCGGGGTAGGAGTGGGGGAGGAAATAAATTGTCCAGAGAAATTTTCAATGTGTTTTCTTCAAAAGGAGTCCTTAGCGTTAATTAACAGACTCGCATACACATACACACATATATATATATGCAGATATGCACACATTTAAATATGCATATATGTGTGTGTGTGTGTGTGTGTAATATAGTCACGGTTCTTTCGAGTATACTTAAATCTATCTCTCTCTCTCTTTTCGTAGAACTTCCTCCCTCACACAGAGATCCGTGTACTCCGTTCTGTTGTGATGCGCGCGAGCGAGCATGCGAGTTTGTAAAACTGGGTCGTACCAAGTGAAAACGCACGACGCACGTAAACGAAGATACACGGTTTTGATCCGTGGTAAGAAGAGAAAAGAAAATAATACTCGAGAGTTAATAGTCGAGTTCACGGACTCACGTTGAAACATCAAAAACATTCTTGGTATACATATACATACATACACACACATATATATATTTGGACTCGAATGTATGGTGTATATAATTTTCGGCATGGAAATAAGAGATCAACGGTCTACATTATCTCTTACCTGTTTCTCTTCTTTCCTACACGGATATCGCTAACAGGATTTCGTCGTATTATCGATTTCTCAAATGCTATTGCGTGAAAACGATCTCTCCTCCTGTTTCGTTTCGCTTGGCGAAAGCGAGTATAAATTTTTTTTTTTTTATTTTTTTTTATTACTTTATTATTTTATTTTTATTATTTTTATTCTTCATCTTCATCTTCTTTTATCTTTTTATTCCCCGTCATTCTTCGCACAAGCGTATATTATTACGAACAAAAATTAAACCTATCGGGATGTTAACGTCGCGGCTTACAATTTAGGTCGGGTTAGTTAATTTAATTATTTTGTTTTTTTGTGTAAAAAAAAAAAAAAGATACAGGCTATCACATCGACACGTCAATCTTTTTTTTTTTTTTTAATAATAAAAGGATCCGATTGCTATAAGGTTAATATTTTTCCTTTCATCTTGTAAAACTTTGTTTTTCATCTTCTTCTTCTTCTTCTTCTTCTTTAGTTTACTTTCTTTCATCTCCATCATTTTTCTTGTTTTTTTTTTTTTTCTTTTTTTTGGAAATCAAATAATATAAACTTGAGAGAGAAATTGTTTCTTCTTTTTTTTTTTGGTATGAATAACGAAACTCAAACGATTCTCTCTTTTTAATCATACCTTATACAGGATGAAAAAGAAAAAAATTGTATCCACGTGAAATTGAATTCCATTGTATACAAAATGTGAACACACGCGACACCGTAGCACAGATTCATTTTAATAAACGAAACAAACATAATCGATCTGCATACCTACCTACCTATTTATCCTACTTGCTTAGTATATTGAAAAAATTTCTAATTGTAATTGATCGATAGTTAGAAGAAAATAAAATGTTATGGGAAACGTTGGTAAGTTCATTCAATTGGAATTTTCTGCACAATCGTTGGCTGCCTCCACGTGACCTCGAAAATGCAAACGGTGTTCGTATAAATAGTGGCGTTTCTCGAAGTATGGTCGATCATTCTTGCGAATATCGGACAATCGTGTACATCTGGTAATTACGTTCCTTACCCCTAGTCACCCTCAACCCTTAACAAGTATAAATTCATACTTGTTTTTATTTTTGTTTGTTAATTCTTTCGAGATAGAGTGTGTAATTGTTGTCTGGTCTATTTTGTTGTTGTTTTTTTATGTTCTTTTTTTTTTTTTTTATTACAAAAGAAAGAATCATCGTCATCCGTAATCATCCGTATTGTCATCACATTTATCATTTTTGAACAATCGTATAGATAAATAAATATTGTTTTCTTTTTATCTTTTCTGACATTAATAATACAATTAACGAATAATAATAATAATTATAATAATAATAATAATATTAATAATAATAAATAACAATCTTCGTCTAAACTTACACATATTACATGTAACAACGAGTATTTCACGGAGATACTGGTTACCGATCAGTGTAGCGAACAGTACGCAAAAAAAAGTTGGTGGAAGATATGAGAAGAAAAAAAGAAAAAGAAAATAGGATAGACAAGGTAAAAAAGAAAGATATTGTAGGACAAGGTAGAAGAAGATTCTTTCTCTTTTTCTCTCTTTTTTTTTTTTTTTTCATTTTACGATCTTCTAAACTAAATTCATTTAACGAGATCTCATGAAGAAAAAAAAAGAAGTTTAGAAAGGAAAGAATCGATGGAACAAAGAAAAATAATTTAAAAAAAAAAAAACAAACAAACAAACAAATAGAATAAAAATAAAAAGAAGAAAGAAAAGAATACTAAGAGAAATATAAAAAAAAAAAAAAAAAAAAAAAAAAAAACAGAAAATAATAATTAAATAAAATAATAGTAAGTAGACAGAGTGAGATAACGAAAAGTAAAAGGAGAGGAAAACTAATGGCAAACGTTCGCGACGAAAAAATTGAGAATCCCTGAAAAAAAAAAAAAAAATAGGAAATAAAAAGAGGATGATAAAAAGGGGTGAGTTGGAAAGGGTTGGGCTCAGAAAAAAATTAGGAGGGTGTTTTTTTTTGTACGAAATCAGTATCAAGCATTAGATTGTTGAGGTTGATGACCACGATAGGCAATGTCATGTGCATCTTGTGGAAGACTTCTGGCCCATCCATGACCACTGCCACCAGAGTAACCACCATAATCACCAGCTCCACCACCACCACCATATCCACCATGTCCACCGTCGTCGTGACTAACAACATGGCTGCTGCTGTGATGGGGATGAGCCACTACTTCGTACGTCACGTGTTTCTGTTGAGAACTCAGTAATTTCTTCAATCCAATGATAGCTGAGATAACCAGTGCTATTTTACCAACTAAAAGAGCTTTTCCTGCTATCAATGCAATTGCACCCAATGCAAGTGGCAACAATGCTGCTGCTTTGAATGCCATTGCCATGAGAATTGGTCCAAGGATTTTCTGTGCCTTCCCTGAAAAATAAAACATTATTATTATAATATTTAAATGAAATGTTTAATTTTATAGAAATATTTCGTAAATTTTTGATTAGATTATTTTATTTATAAATCGTATAAATTTATTGGCCAATTGAGTTTATTTTGAATGTGTTTTTGAAGTTCATTTGCAGCTTATAAATTATTTTCATTGAAATAATGAGATTAATCTAACATAGAAATTTATATAATCAAATTACATATTGATTGACATAATTAATGAATATTTTTTTCATTGATCATTAATTTTCTCAAAACAACAAAAAATGAACTTGTACCACTTTCAAAATAAACTATTTATATCTATATATATATATATATATTAAACCTATTATCGATTGATTAAAAATACTTCAATTACGATAATTGGAAAATATTCCTCCTATAGTTGTTTGATAAATTTAATTCGATTATGATCAAAACGGTAATCCAATGATGATCTTAAAAAGCCTACTTTTCGAACTCTAGTTTATCGTCCTAGTATTTTCACGTGTAATCGGTTGGCTCCATCAGGTGATCAACTAGATTGCAAATACTGTTATTCGGACGAGAATAACTAAAGTCGTAAACATCAATGGTTAGTTTTATGTAACTTCCTTTGCACGAACCAACGAACGAGAATGCTCTCTCACGGTCCTTAACGAGATCTAATCTTTTCTAGTCTTTGGTAAAGAACAGATAGAAATCATGTTCTTCTATACTATAATAAGTTTTGTAAGTTGTAAGTCAAAGTTCACGCGAATCAAGGTCGACGTGTTTCTCATAACTTTGACTGAATTTTACGGGACGAAATAAAATTACAAAAAGAAAAAAGAATTAAATAAAAATTTTGAAAAAAAAAAGAAAACTACTTAAAGATGAAGATGAAAAAAAGTATGTCAACAATGTTTTCTTCTTCCCTCTCGATTGTATTCTTTTCTGCTTACAGACGATACCCCCACCCAACCCCCCAATCGATTCGCAATCCCCCTTCCTCTCTTTCAATATATATATATATATGTATATATTACATAGAGTTGCCTGAAGGGGAAACGGAACCAGTTTCTCAGTGGGTCAACGTCTGTGACCGGCATCAAACAACTCCCTCTCCTTTCCTCTTGAATCTTTCGAATCGCATGAAGACAAAAAGACAAAGAGGGGAAACTACTAAGATATTCGCGTAATACAGCTGACACCGGTTATCCCGTTCCAACCACAGAATTCTTTACGAATAATAAAAGGATAATTGAATATTCTTAATAGATTATTATACTTATTATAGATCATTTCATTTGAATCTCTCGATACTAAATATATGATAATAATATTTCAAATAAATTTGAAAAGAACGAACGTTTCAATGATTGCGGTTTAATATTGTCTTATTGTTAATTATAAATAAAAAAAAAATTAAATTAAAAAAAAAAGAAAAAGGAAACAAGTAGAAACAAGTAGAAAGAGAAATGCACGTTCGATCTCGTTTACGTTCAATTTAAATATAGATGAATATTAATCATCTTTTGATAAATAAAATAAATGAAATGTGTATAATAAATGAAATGAAATGAAATGAAATGATTTTATTTGACTTACGTTTTTTACCACGAGCTTCGACAGAATTATCACTGTAATCATCGAGACTACGTCCAGCAGATTCAATGACGCCCAAAATATCGGAACCCTTTAAGTCGACCTTGACCGTATGAGTCCTCAGGAATCTACCTAATCTGTCGAACAGAAGTGTATCCAAATCCGTAGATTCGATAGATCTGCGAATAAAATAAAAATAAAACGATAACGGTTAAAATCGAACTTTACTACTCAATCGAGTTCGTTGAACTCGACCAATTCTTTTTTATTGGTTTGACCACTATATATCTATCTATATATATATATATATATATATATATATATATATGTTTGATTAAAAGTTAAAACGAATGTCACGATCACGAATGATTCTACTTCGAACAGACCTAGGTGCTCCTTCCTCGGCATTGGAAGTTTTAACGACTGTGATTCCATCGGTCAACGTGATGTCATCCTTGTCCGCCAACATTTTATCGACGTATGCGAAAACCTTGTATTTAATACAACTGATTGATTCTTTCTTAAGACAATCGTTGTATATCGTAGCCATTAGATCGTTCTCACTTCCGTTACTCTTTTCGCTAGTGGGCAATGCCATATTTTGACACGCCATAAAAATAAGGCACAATAATATCGTCACTGATTTTTTCATCGTCATCGTTCCGTTTCTCTCTTTCTATCGAGTTTTCTTCTAAAACCAACTCGATTTCAGCTGGTGGATTGGTGAGGGGTGGAGACGGAACTTTCCCTTTAAATTCCGTCTAATTGCAATAAAAATCCTTCTTCTTCTCCTTCTCCTTCTTCTTCTTCTTCTTCTTCTTGATCCTTTCCTTCTTCAAAAAAAAAAACTTCCTTGACGATGAACGTTTTATGAGAGAACGAAGGACGTACCTTCCTACAAGTAACGCAGATTCTGTCTCGTGTGTTACGTTTAAAAGAGGTTCCTTTGCTTTTATACCAAAGTATCGCACACGAAAGGGGAGAAGAATCCGTAGGGGCCCACGGTTCGTTCGGGCCATCAGGAGTTCCTCTCTTTTTCTTTCTCTCTTTCTCTCTCTCTCTCTCTCTCACTCTCTTTCTCTTGAATACACGTTCTCTCGCTTCCTCCCCTTTCTCCCCACCCGATCTTGCCTCCTTTTGCCTCCTTCCTTCCTTTTCCCTCAATTCCAACCGATGATTCTTTCGTCGATCCCCCACCACCAACACCATAACCATCACCACCACCATAACCATCACCACTACAACCCGATCTTCGCTTCTAAGGATCTTTCGATCATTCCACTACCATCATCAAACTCTAATACCCTATCTTCCATCTTTACTTTTGGCAAACTCTCTCTCTCTCTCTCTCTCTTTGTATCTCATAGCAATGTGTTGCTCACTTGGAAAGTGGGG